ACTAGGCCTAGTGAATCCCTTATCAAGTAGATCATGAAGCTGTTCTTTCAATTCCTTAAACTCTATTGGTGCCACATGATACGGAGGAATAGAGATGGGTTGAGTTCCCGGCTCCAGGTTAATACCAAAATTAATGTCCCTGTTGGGTGGCATGCCCGGCAGGTCTGCAGGAAACACATCTAGAAAATCTCGCACTACCAGAACAGACCTAATGGTAGGGGTATCAGCACCAATATCTCTCACAAAGGCTAAATATGCCAAACATCCCTTCCCAACCATCCGTTGGGCCTTCAAATATGAAATCACTCTACCGGGAACATAGTCCAAAGAACCTCTCCACTCAATCCTAGGCAATCCTGGCATCGCCAACGTCACGATCTTAGCGTGACAATCCAGAATAGCATGACATGGTGACAACCAGTCCATGCCTAGAATCACGTCAAAATCAACCATAATAAGTAGTAAAAGATCAACTATCATCTCCAATCCCCCAATAGTCACCCTACACGACCGATATTCACGGTCCACAACAATAGGATTACCCACCGGCATAGATACATGAACATGTGTAACTAAGGAATCACGGGGCATATCCAAATGACGAGCAAAGTACGATGATACATATGAATATGTGGAACCAGGGTCAAATAATATGGAAGTATCTCTGTGGCACACTGAAACAATAATTGTGATCACTGCATCTAAAGCAATGGCCTCTGGCCTGGTGGGAAAAGCATAGCATTGAACCTGAACACCACCTGATCAGCCTCCCGCTCTAGGGTGATCTCGAGCTGCCTAAGTTGAGCGGGTGGTGAAGTAACTGGTGCAGAACTCATACCTCTCATAAGATGGGGATAATACCTTGTCACATTTCCTAACTCTCCACACTCGAAGCAACCTCGATTTGACATTGGCGGAGGGGACTAAATCGAACCCGAGAACCAGAATAACCACTTGAAGAACTTGGTATAGACGAACTTTGAACTGATAGAGCACAAGATGCACTCTGGGCTGGGAGGGCACTGAAAGATGAATGACCCTGACAAGCACTGTGTGAGTCATGGCTAGCTGATGCTCAAACTGCCTACTAACTCCTCTCTGCAAGTCTATGGAACAAACTTCTCTAAGAAAAGAACTGAGAACATGCCACGTCAGTGATGCAGCATCTGCTGGACTGCTCAACTCATAGGCCTCCCACCATCTGTAGGCTACCCCTGTCAGCTGAAAAGTAATAAAGGAAACTCCACTGATCTCGAAAATACCAGCCGTGCGAAGAATCTACTGACACCTGTCTATAAAATCATGAGCATCCTCTGACTCGGCTTCACTGAACTCTGGAGACTTGGGCCTCCCAAACCGCTCTAGTCTCTTCTGCTCCTCAAAACTCATAAATTGTCTAACCTGGTCCCGAGCAGCTGCAACCAGCTGGGCTAGTAGTACCCTCGATGTTTGGAGTCGTTGAGCTACCTGCTCTGGAGTCCAGGCGGTGGGAGTTTGAGTACCTCCCCTGGCTTGAGAAGTGGTTGGTGCAGCCGGAACCAAAAACGCCTGAGCAAGGCTCGTGCATACAGTCAAAATCTTGGCCAAAGCCTCCTAAAGGCCTGGGATTACAATGGGCACAACTAGTGCCTGAGCTGGTCCCATTGGCTCAACAATATCTGGAATCTTCTCCCTAGCTAGAGCAACTGGTGGCTCCACATGTGCTGTTCTAATTGTAATACGAGCCAGACCTCGGCCTCTACCATGACCCCTTCCTCTCGCGGCCCTATCTGGTGGTACTGGTGGCCGTCCGCCTAGTTCGGTTGCATGTGTCCTCATCATCTGTGAGAGAATAGATGAATATTAGTACAGTTTCCAGAATCAACAAATGACAATAGTACAAGAAGTGAAGTTTCCTAATGGTTCGGTAGCCTCTAGAAGATAAGTATAGACGTCTCCATACCGATCAACAATACTCTACTAAACCTACTCATGACTCGTGAGACCTAAGTAACCTAGTGCTCTAATACCAACTTGTCACGACCCAAAATCCCAACCTGTCGTGACGGCTCCTAACACATTTACTAGGCAAGCCGACTATCACATAACAACTAAGCATTTGAATTAAAACATGAATTAATAAGCTCAGCGGCGGAAAATCTCATAAATATCTGATAAAAACAACTGAAACTCTACCACAACCATCCCAAAATCTGGTGTCAACGAGTACATGAGCTACTAAGTATCAACATAGCTTGAAACTCTAGTACAACTGTCTGAGTAATAGAACAATACTATGAAATGAAAAGAATGAGAGTTAAGGTCTGCGGACGTCATTGCAGCTACCTTGAAGTCTCCAAGCAGCACTAGCAACGATATAGCAATCACCACATCCAGATGTACCTGGATCTGTACACCAAGTGCAGAGTATAGTATGAGTACAACAACCAAATGTACTCAATATGTAACAGGACTATCCTTGGGCTGAAAGTAGTGACGAGCTTAGAAGGATACAGTCAGAACCAATATAATGACAACACAAATATCACAATGAGAATAACAGTAATAACTCAGAGAAAACTTCCATATTCAAATCGTTCACAGTATAGAAGTTTAGACATGCTTTCAAGTTCACAATTTAAGACCAACACTGGTAAGAACATGTCGAGTATAACTAGCATGAAGAATGGTACATCTCTACGTCTACATTTCAAATATGCATGCCAAAAGTACGATATCACAATGATATTTCCATGTACTCCCACTCTCAGAGTGCTCAATCTGTCTATCTCAAATTCCCACTCATTACACACAATCATTCAGCACTATACGGGTGCGGAGGGGAGGCTCCTGCCCAAGCACTAATATAAAGCCTACAAGGCCTATTGTGGCGTGCAGCCCGATCCACAATAATAAATAAGCCAATAAGGTCTGTTGCAGCGTGTAGCCCGTTCCACAATAACACTCAAAATCCGGCTCTCAAGCCAACTCAGTCATCAATCTCTCCAGTCTCAAAGGCTCAAAAATCTCATACTACTCAGCCCAAACAATAAGAACATGTAATGTAACAGTAAATAATAACCGAGACTGAGATATGATATGCAAACGAAGGATCATGACTGACCCATAATTTCAGTTAAAGCAGGTAACTCAAAACGGCAGAAATAACCTCACTAGGCCTCAACAGAATAAGCACATAGCCTAAACATGTGTTTTCAACATGAATTAAAGCACAAGCCGTATTTATGGACTAGATGAATGGCCTATTTTGGCCATTTTTAGATTTGTTCGTGATAGTATTTATTGATGAAAACTATTTTGGTTTATTCACGTTTAGAGGATGAGCATGCAGACCACCTGCGAGCGGTACTCCAAACCCTCCGTGATAGTAAATTATATGCTAAGTTCTCTAAATATGAGTTCTGGTTGAAGTTTGTAGCATTCTTGGGGTACATTGTATCTGATGGAGGTATAAAGGTAGACACTTAGAAGATTGAGGTTGTGAAATCCTGGCCTAGACCTACCACTCCGACAGAGGTTCGTAGCTTTCTAGGCTTAGCAGGATACTACCGGAGGTTCGTAGAGGGTTTTTCTTCTCTTTCGGCACCATTAACAAAGTTGACGCAGAAAGCAACTATGTTTCAATTGACAGAGGCCGGTGAGCAGAGTTTCCAAGAGCTTAAGAACAGGTTGACCTCAGCGCCAGTTCTAGCACTTCCAGAGGGCCTAAATGGTTATGCCATGTATTGTGATGCCTCAGGTGTCGGGTTAGGATGTGTCCTGAGCAACATGGGAAGGTAATTGTGTATGCTTCAAGGCAGTTAAGGAAACATGAGCGGATTTATCCGACCCACGACCTCGAGTTAGCTGCGGCTGTCCATGCACTTAAGATACGGCGGCATTATTTATATCGTGTTCATGTTGATGTATTTACAGATCATAAAAGCCTGCAATATATCTTCAAGCAAAAAGAGTTGAATTTGTGACAGAGGCGATGGCTTGAGTTATTGAAAGATTACAATGTTAATATTCTCTACTATCCAGGGAAAGCTAATGTTGTAGCAGATGCCTTAAGTCGCCGATTTATGGGTGGCTTAGCACATGTAGAGGCCAAGAAAAGACAATTAACTAGAGAGATTCATCGACTGGCTTGTTTGGGGGTTCGGTTAGTAGACTCTGGCAATAGCGGAGTTGTACTCCAAAATACTGCAAAATCATCTCTCATAGCTGAAGTAAAGGAGAGGCAGTACGAGGACCCAGAGTTGGTCGAATTGAGAGAGCGAGTTCCGCAGCAGAAGAAGCTATTGTTAGAGCTCAAGGGAGATGGGGTTTTCAGATACAGGGGTCGTGTGTGTGTTCCAGATATAGCAGTGCTATGAGACAGGATTATGTTAGAGGTACATTATTCGTCCATTTATCCTGGGTCGACAACAATGTATCATGACATTAAGGATGTATACTGATGGAACGATATGAAGAAGAACATTACTGAGTTTGTCGCTCAGTGTCCTAGCTGTCAGCAGGTGAAGATAGAGCACCAGAAGTACGGAGGGCTAATGCAGACTATAGAGATCCCGACATGGAAATGAGAGGCGATAAACATGGACTTTATCATGGGGTTACCTCGTTCTCATCATAAGTTCGATTCCATATGGGTGATAGTCGATAGGCTCATGAAATCAGCTCATCCCTACCGGTTAGAACTACATATGCAGTAGAAGACTATGCAAATTATATATTAAGGAGATAGTGCGACCACACGGAGTACCAATATCTATTATATCTGACCGTAGGGCCCAGTTTACAGCATAATTTTGGAGGTCATTTCAGAGAGGTCTAGGGACTCAGGTGAATCTCAGCACAACTTTTCATCCACAGATAGATGGAGAAGTCGAGCACACAATTCAGACACTCGAGGATATGTTACGAGCATGTGTGTTGGATTTTAAAAGAAGTTGTGATGAACATCTACCTCTTATTGAGTTTGCATATAATAACAATTACCACTCTAGTATCCAGATATGTGTTGTAGGCGCATTAAGGTTGAGGAGGTCGTAGGTGCGATGGGTAAGATGAGTCGGGGCAAAGTGACTGGACCAGACGAGATTCCAGTAGAGTTTTGGAGATATGCGGGTAGAGCAGGCTTGGAGTGGCTGACTGGGTTGTTTAATATTATCTTCAGGACAAAGAGGATGCCTGATGAGTGGCGGTGGAGTACAATGGTTCCGGTGTACAAGAACAAAGGGGATATCAAGAACTGTAACAACTATAGGGGTATAGAGTTACTAAGTCATACCATGAAAGTTTGGGAGAGGGTGGTGGAAGGGAGGATAAGGAGGGCGGTGTCTATATCAGAAAACCAGTTCGGGTTCATGTCGGGTCATTCTACTACGGAAGCTATCCACCTTATCAGGAGGTTGGTGGAACTATACAAGGATAGGAAAAGGGATTTGCATATGGTGTTTATTAACCTAGAGAAGGCATATGATAAGGTCCCTAGGGACGTCCTTTGGAGGTGTCTGGAGGTGAAAGGTGTGCCGGTGGCTTACATTAGGGCGATAAAGGATATGTATGATGGAGCTATGACTCGGGTTAGGACTATGGGAGGTGACTCAGAGCCTTTTCTGGTGGTTATGGGGTTACACCAAGGATCTGCGCTCAGCTCGTTCTTATTTGCTCTGGCGATGGACGAATTGACACACCATATCCAAGGAGAGGTTCCATGGTATATGTTGTTCGCTGATGATATAGCTCTAATTGATGAGACGCGAGGCAACGTTAATGGTAGACTGGAGGTACGGAGGCAGGCCCTGGAGTCTAAAGGTTTCAAGTTGAGTAGGACTAAGACAGAATATATGGAATGTAAGTTCAATGACGTGACGGAGCCGAAATCGGATCACCTAATATTTGTCCGGGACTTCAAAAACAACCTAAGAAACAATAGTCACCGCCCCGCCATGAACAAATTACATTTTTTTGGCATTTTACAACATTTAAACTAGAATTCTGCCAGCCGTGCCTGTATTTTCGCCTGCCATGGCCCAAGCCCGACCCCGTGGGACGGAGCCAGAACCAGATCGCCTAATATTTGTTCGGGACATCAAATACAATCTAAGGAACCATAGTCACCGCCCCTCCATGACCAAATTATATTTTTTGGCATTTTACGGCAATTAAACTGGCATTCCGCCCGTCGTGCCTGTATTTTCGCCTGCCATGGCCCAAGCCCGACGCCGTGGGATGGAGCCAGAACCGGATCGCCTAATATTTGTTCGGGACATCAAATACGATCTAAGGAACCATAGTCACCACCCCGCCATGACCAAATTACATTTTTTGGCATTTTACGGCAATTAAACTAGAATTCCGCCAAGAGAGAAAGTTTTAAGTACTTAGGTTCAATCATCAAGGGAGATGGGGAGATCGACGGGGATGTTACGCACCGTATTAGGGTGGGGTGGATGAAATGGAGGTTAGTGTTTGGAGTCCTGTGTGACAAGCATGTGCCTCCGAAACTCAAAGGTAAATTCTATAGAGCGGTGGTTAGACCGGCCATGTTGTATGGAGCTGAGTGTTTTTCAGTCAAGAATTCACATATCTAGAAGATGAAAGTAGCATAAATGAGGATGTTGAGATGGATGTGTGGGCACACTAGGCTGGATAAGATTCGGAATGAAGATATTCGGGAGAGGGTAGGCATGGCTCCCGTGGATGACAAGATGCTGGAAGCGCGACTTAGATGGTTCGGACACGTGCGGAGGAGAAGCCTAGATGAACCGGTTAGGAGGTGTGAGCGGTTGACTTTGGTAGGTACGAGAAGAGGCAGAGGGCGGCCTAAGAAGTATTGGGGCGAGGTGATCAGGCAGGACATGGCGCGGCTTCAGATTTCTGAGTACATGGCTCTTGATAGGAACATGTGGAGGTCGAGAATTAGGGTGGTAGGCTAGGGGGTTAGCGATCTATGTTGTGTTCACATTGTTGTTTTGCATAGTTTTGTGTTATTGTCCTTTCACTTATTCGTTGTTGTTATTTTCTTTCTGGAATCTTTTGTAGTTACATGTCTTTTCTCTTGTTTCTTTTCTGATATTATTGTCTCTCCTGTTGAGCCGAGAGTCCCCCGGAAATAGCCTCTCTACCCTTTTCGGGGTAGAGTTAAGGTCTGCGTACACTCTACTCTCCCCAGACCCCACTAGTGGGATTATACTGGGTATGTTGTTGTTGTTGTTGTGCTCCAGTATCCAGATGGCTCCTTACGAGGCTTTGTATGGGTGTAAGTGCAGATCTCCTATAGCGTGGTTTGATGTTGGAGAATCTGGGTTACATGGGCCAAACCTTGTTCAGCAGGCCATAGAAAAAGTAAAGTTTATCCGGGAGCGACTGTTGACAGCTCAGAGTCGTCAGAAGTCATATTCTGATGTGCGGCGACGAGACTTAGAGTTCGGGGTTAATGACTGGGTATTTTTTAAGGTGTCACCTATGAAGGGTGTGATGAGGTTTGGCAAGAAAGGTAAGCTTAGCCCACGGTATATTGGGCCTTATAGGATCACTCGGAGAGTGGGCCAAGTAGCTTATGAGTTAGAATTGCCCTTAGAATTGGAGTCTGTCCATCCGGTTTTTCACGTATCTATGCTATGGAAGTACATTGGCGATCCTACCCGAGTGGTGCCCACGGATGATGTGCAGATCACGGAGGACTTGTCATACGAGGAAATTTCGGTTGTCATCCTAGACCGACAAATCCGCAAGCTACAAAATAAGGAGATAGGCTCCGTGAAGGTTTTATGGAGAAGCAAGAAGGTGGAAGAGATGACGTGGGAAGCGGAGGAAGAAATGAAGTCTAAATATCCCCACCTATTTCTAACTGAAGATATGGCTCGAGGTGGGATACTTCAGCACCACTCTGTTTAAGCCAGTAGGTCATCATGTAAACTCTTATTTTTTACTTTTAGAATTTATAATAGACAACTGTGTGAGGCCAACTGTTACTATTTGTAGACATTGGCCAGGTGTGGCATGTATAGTATGTTTTCTGGCCGCGTACAGGTTGGTTTTAGTCTAGTGCACGGAGGAGACTCTGGCAAAATTTTCCCAAAGTCTCTGAGAGTAAACATTCGTGGACGAATGTTTCTAAGGGGGGAGGATGTTGCATCTCACATTTTCGTACATTAAAGTTTCGTCTTCAGTTAATTGACATAGACCCGAGGATGAGATTTTCTTGAAATTATAAGCATTTATGATGTTTATAACAAGCAATAAGTAAGTGCCATGAAAGAAAAAAGGGTAAACGAATCAAAGAAACTGAGTTTCGTTGAAGGTTGTCGATTTGGGATAAAATACGGTCCGAGCTATAATACTCGATATTTATGGACTAGTACCATAAAAGGTACCATATGACCATGATAGTATGATGTATAAAGTGTATTAAAAATGAGTAGTATTTTAAGTAATTTGAGACAATTCTTAATTATATCGGTAATTGGTTAATTATTGATTTAATGGGAGATTAACCATGTAATTAAGGATTTGTGGATAATTGTAGGCGAGGACAAATCCCCCCACGTGGCAACAAATGGAGTATGACTTAAATAACTCTTGCCTTTAGACAATTTAATTAGTAGGCACATGGACAGCATTCTTAAGCCATTTACACGTAAGAAGTGGAGTATATTAGTCATCTCTAACTTGTCTTCAATGGATATTAAAATTCATTTTGGGCAAAGGAATTATATAGAAAGGCAAAACAAGGAATGAAGGTGAGGAAATTTTGAAAATTGAATTCCAAATGGAGCAATTCTGTCTAGTTTGAGGTTTCACATTTGGTGATGTTATTGAGTCCTCTCTTTTAATTTTGGAGGTTTGACGTTGGGAGAAATAGGAGTAGTAGAAGTTGTCAAAGTTTGATAACAAGACATAAAGAGAAATTCATATTCCGGAATTTATGTATATTTTCCTAGTCTCGTAAGTTACAATATTCTCCTTATCGGGACTTCATATTCAATTTAGTGTTTCCTTCTTCCAGTCAAGAGAGCAGAGAGTCTATATATACAGTATTACAGTATTTTCACGACTATCGAGCTATAATCGATGGGCAGGCCCCTATTGGGAAACCTCTGATCAGATGGTAAGTTATATATCGAGCCTACTGTTGTCGAGCGCCTATGAGCGAGCCTAGTAGGCCGAGATACAGAGCCTAGTATGGCCGAGCGCCTATGAGCGAGCCTACTACGGCAGAGCAGATATATACATATACCGAGCCTTATAAGGCTGGACAACTATTTTACTTACTATATTGAGAGAGTTGAGTCAGTATCAGTAGGTAAGCATATCTTCAGATTATCTTTGACTCCCAGTTACTTTCAGCTATTATATTATCAGTTTAGTTTCAGCTTTCAGTTATATTATTTCCTTGCATACTCGGTACATTATTTTGTACTGACGTCCCTTTTTCTGGGGACACTGCATTTCATGTGTGCAGGTTTAGACAGACAGACGGGTAGACCTCCTCAGTAGGTGTTGCCCGAGTTCAGGTTTATCGGTAAGCTCCACGTCTTTCGGAGTTGCCGGGTCTAGATTTTTGTGTACATCCTGTATATATATGTATATAGGTTATGGGTAGGTCGGGGCCCTATCCCGATCACAGTACATCCAGCAGTAGAGGCTTATAGACATATCTTGTCAGTTAGTGCAGTATGTTGGGCTTGTAGCCCTTGTATGTATATTTTGCTGGTTTGTCAGCTGTAGTAGCTATGACGGCCTTGTCGGCCCAGCTTTATACTGATGCTTAGTCAGCGGTAGTTTCCGTTTAGCTTTATATTTTGCTTCGCAAATTGTCTTACAATGTGGCCCGATGCCCAAAGTATGACATTATATATTTAGAGTCCCTTAGTCGCAAATTGGTACACAAGGATAGGTGAGGCACCGGGTGCCGGTCTCACCCCCCAGGTTCGGGGCGTGACAAAAAGTCCTAGAAATTTTGAAGTCTGCATTAATCTCTATTAGTGGTGATTGGCAAGAAAGGCAAGCCTATATTTGTTGTAAATAATTGAGTCAGTATTCTTGATTTTTCTAAAATCAGAGATGTCTAACAGTGATATTTGCAGAGTAAAAGTGAAGAAATAAAGAAAATAAGTTTTAAAAAGTTCAAATGGATTGAAGTTTCAGATGGAGTCATTAGATGTTGAGTATTGAGGTTTTGATGATTACAAAAATTTGTTTAGAGGAAATGCTTTAAGAACCAGGTCTTCAATGTAACTGTTTAACTATTCTAAGAACCAGGTCCTCAAGGTTGATAATTGCACGTTCTTATAAGACAATAACTTTGTCACAAAGTTACTCAAGTCCGAGTTCGTTGGAAGAGGATTGCTAAACATGATAAGGGTTGTTGTCCAAGAAGATATGCTTGCATAAGTGAGAGACAAGAGTCCCAAGAATTGTGGAGTCCTTGGAGCAATCACATAGGACTCCTAAAAGATCTTGGAGTCCAGGGAGTTTAAATACTATCTTTTTAGACTGCTAAGTTCATCCTTTCACACATCAACTGAATAACTATATTTTCTATACTCTACTAGTGTTAATGTTCTTCTTGAGTCAGTTTAGTAATTGTGTTTTAGGAAATCGAGTTGTAATCAAAGTGTTATATACAATCAGTGAGTTGAAGTAATTATTTGGTTTTGCAAGTTAGAGTAACTTGTAAGTCAAATAGTTGAAGTAGGGGAACTAGAGAGTATTGAGTTATAGGTTGTAATCGATACATTTGGATTATTGTCTAGTGATGTTGAAGCTAAAATCGTACATGGTAGGCCGTGGTTTTTGCACCTTTTAAGCATGGTGATTTTCCACGTAAAAATTGATGCGTTTACTTTACTGTTTATTTTGCTTACACTTAAGGAGTGAGGTAACGAACCAAGTTCTTTAGTAATCCATATGGCACTCAAACTAACATTAGATGTCGCAAAGTTGCGAATGTTTAAATATTCTTTAAAAAAAAAGAAAAAATTTCTTTCCTCGAGGACAAGCAAAAACTTAAATATGGGAGAATTTGATACGTGCATTTTACCTCATTTTAAATGTATAAAATTCTTCGTAAAAGCATAAAATTATCATGTTTTTTTTTCTCCATATTTTTAACTTGATTGTGCAGGAAATGTTACAAGAAGAATTGGTACAAAAGCAATAAGACTTCAAGAAAAGAACGCAAGTTACGACAAAATATGAAATTGTATAAACTCCATCTATAACAACAAAGTAGCCACAACCAAATTCAAGAATAAAAGAATTTTTCATAACCAAAGCAAGTAGCTATAACCAAGCCAACTGGTTATGGTTTGATTATAAAATCATACTTCGGCAAATGAAAAAAACAGCTAGAGAAAGGGAGCTCAATTAGAACTTTGAAAATTCTTTAGAACTTACTTTTTCCATTTTGTCTTTAGTTTTTCAATTTTTCTCCTTATCGCCATTATATTGGCTTTGTTTCTTGTTCCACATAAATTTTAAAGTTTCAAATTACTCTTGTTGCTGTTTTTAAATAAATAGGGAGAATTATTCTTCTTCAATATTTCTTCCTATTTTCTTATTTAATGGTCAAGAATATTTCTGTTGTCATTACGAACTCTAGTATGGAGTAACTTTTTTTTTTGTTGGGAGAATGACATATCTTAATATTTTTATATAATTGTAGATATTACTCTATAATTTCAAATACTTGAGCTAAAGCTTTCTATTTTATATTTATCTACTTTACTGATAGATGTTAACATTTATGTAGTGATATCTATCTATATTATGTTATAATTAATTCTACATTATTTATAATCGAAAGAGGCAATTACTGTAGTAATTCGATATAACAAGTAGAGTAACCGAAAGAGAATAACTAAAAAGAGTATGTTTCAGTTCAAGCATATACTTCTGGTTCTTTAATATTATCATTTCGATGATTAGTTTGTATAACCGAGTGGAGTGCAATTAATTGTTCAACTTAAGTAGTAATATATAAGTGTAATCGTGAGAGCCATTTATACATTTGTGAGAAATAAAAATTGAAGAATAAATATATCTACTATATAATAGAAATATTAAGTGAAGTTGGGATCCCAACACTTTTTTATATTTGCGAAAGACAAAATATTTCTCTATTGCTTATTTACGCATTTAGTTAGTTAACTCACAACTCAACTCTTTCTGATTTTCTTAAATAATAATTAAAACAAGAAAAATCTATAGAATAGATTAACCGATCTCCAGCATCTTTCTATACTATAAGTTGACAGAGTACGAGTCAGAAATATATATACGCCAGACACTCATCACATACCTCCAAACGTAGATCCGCCATTGAGTGGAGAGGGACAACGAGTTAGGTGGGACAAGGGTAGAGGGTTGGGAGGGTTACAAACGTAATTGGAGAGTTTGAGAATATAATTTTCCCTCTTCTAATAGGAAAAGCATTTCTTCAAATTAGGGGTGTTCATAAAAATTCGAAAAACCGAACCAAACCGAAAATCGACCAAAAAAACCGATACTTTTTAGGTTTGTTAGTTTTGGTTTTGAATTTTAAAAACCGATCAAATTTGGTTTGGTTTTGGTTTTTAATAAAAAAATAACCGAAAAAACCCGAACCAAACCGACTATAAAAGTAGCTATTTAAATTTATTATTACACCTATATATATATATATATATATATATATATATATATATATATATATATGTATATATATATGTATATGTATGTATGTATGTATGTATGTATTTTTATATAAAGTTTCTAAAATTTTATCGTACATATTAGTCATTTGTATTTTTAGTCTAGTTCTTTGCTATTATAATAATCTAATTCTTTGCGTTAACATTCTAGTTTGATTGGTAGTTTTCATTTGCTAAGTATAAAAATTTATTTCATGATAAAAATAATCAATTTTTAATTGAGTACTTAAATTATTTATCACTATTTACTTCAATTATCATCAATATATCTTGGTAAATGATAAATTTTTCAAAGAGCAATTGATTTGATAGCGTTACGTTGATAATATAGTCGCCTAAATATGCATTTGGTAGTGTATGTCTCATATTTAAGAAAAAACCAGATAAATACGAAAAAACCGAAAAACCGACAAAAAACCGAATTGATAAAAAACCGACTCAATTGGTTTGGTTTGGTTCCAATATTTGAAAAATCGATTTACTTGATTTGGTTTCTTTTTCGGGAAGAACGACCCAAACCGAACCATAAACACCCCTACTTCAAGTTAAAGAAAAATATATTCATAAGGAAAATATTTTTTTAAACATTTAAGCAACCATCCAAAATTGAAAACCAAACACACCTTTATGGGGCAAGATGCTTACAAGATCCGGATCTAGGACAGGTGTCCAAAGCAGAACATAGGCCCCTCCTCATGTAATACTTCCTGCATTTTGATTGGTAGAAGGTGACAACTTTCGTTGCCAATTGGACCTCGTAACCACATTACGTGTAACAAACACTTCGTCCCATTTCATCTGGTTAGGGTTTCATTTGGGCCCAATCCCAGAAGGATAAGCAAAACAAGCATTGGCACAAACTGCAGGCATATTCCTCATATTCTTCCTCGTACATCCAGCTTCCCGTTTTCGTCTATAAATAAACGGAAATCACCAACCCAATTTTTTTTAAAAAAAGGAACAATCTTTGATATACTCAACTCAAAAATCCATCATGGCAACTTCTCAGATTTTGCAGACAGAACAAGATCTTCTCATGATGTCTTCCCTTTTTGATGATCCCAAAGGTGCAAACTTTTGGTTGCTTTTATTTTGTAGTAGAATTCAATATCTAACAGTTTATGATTTTATTGCACTTTTGAGATTTATTCCCTTTTTTTAAAGTGAATCTTGATGGCCTTATGCTTTGTTTAGTTCATTTTATTATTATGGGCCTGAATCCAACTCTATACTGCTACTTTGTGCTGTGTTCTCATGGTGATTTGGAAAAATCAGTAATTTATTCCCAAGGGATGGATTGCAGGAGAAAATGTGAAGTCCCGAGGGATAGCTATCGAGAAAAAGATCGAGTTTCTTGAAAGCTTGGCTGGAAAAGTAATTTTCTTTGCATCTATTTTTGGCAGTCAATTTATTTTTATTAACTTAAATACTATCCTGGGAGATCCCCTGTTAATATCACTGTGTTCTGAGCTGTTGTTTTCATTGATCCTATCCCTATGTAAACATTATATGTGCGGTCCGTTATGTTCCTTATACTTACTTGTTGGTACGAACTATGTTAGGACACTTGCACAAGCATACACGTGGTTAATCACCCTTATCGGGTAGGAGGCTCATTGAGATTTCTGAGTATAGACGCACACCCTTGTTATTTGCCTTCCATGTGAGAATGACTCTTTTGGGGCACGTGAGTTGTCAGTATGATCAGGAGGTGTGATGAGGGCATAGGATGCCAAGTGTTAGGGTTCAGGTATTGAGACCCGTAATGTATGATTATGAGATGAGGTGTCACAGGGTGACTGATATGCGAAGGTTATCTATTTGAAAAAATTATATTCGAAAAACATTTAATTTTGAAAGTAACTCTTTTTGAAAAAGTAACATTTATTTGAATGAAAGTATATTTGAAACTATTTTTATCACCTTGAAAGGTTTTGACTATTTGATTGACGCTTGCTGGTTAAGACTTAAGGTGTAAAAACTATCGGAGTTGTTAGAGTTATGACTTGTCTTTACTGTATTTGCGTATTTCGAATTTGGGTNTTTCATTTGGGCCCAATCCCAGAAGGATAAGCAAAACAAGCATTGGCACAAACTGCAGGCATATTCCTCATATTCTTCCTCGTACATCCAGCTTCCCGTTTTCGTCTATAAATAAACGGAAATCACCAACCCAATTTTTTTTAAAAAAAGGAACAATCTTTGATATACTCAACTCAAAAATCCATCATGGCAACTTCTCAGATTTTGCAGACAGAACAAGATCTTCTCATGATGTCTTCCCTTTTTGATGATCCCAAAGGTGCAAACTTTTGGTTGCTTTTATTTTGTAGTAGAATTCAATATCTAACAGTTTATGATTTTATTGCACTTTTGAGATTTATTCCCTTTTTTTAAAGTGAATCTTGATGGCCTTATGCTTTGTTTAGTTCATTTTATTATTATGGGCCTGAATCCAACTCTATACTGCTACTTTGTGCTGTGTTCTCATGGTGATTTGGAAAAATCAGTAATTTATTCCCAAGGGATGGATTGCAGGAGAAAATGTGAAGTCCCGAGGGATAGCTATCGAGAAAAAGATCGAGTTTCTTGAAAGCTTGGCTGGAAAAGTAATTTTCTTTGCATCTATTTTTGGCAGTCAATTTATTTTTATTAACTTAAATACTCATGCCCATTTCTCAGTTGGTAATTGCTATTGTGATCTCAGTTTTTGAGATTAAAGGCTTTGTTTATTTTGTATTTGCAATTCATATCGTAGCTTGATTGGTAATTTTTGGATAAGTAGATGGTTAGCTCCTCAGTTGGTTTAATTCTACACAGAAGCGGAGCCGGAATTTCAAGCTTATGAGTTCAGAATTCTAATTGTTTTAAGTTACTGGGTTCTAAATTGATAATTTATACATATTCAATGAATTTTTCAAGACAAATACAAGCTTCGAACCAAAGCTACCGGGTTCGGCTGAACCCGCTGGCTACGCTCTAGCTCCGCCCCTGATTCTACATGCTTGGTGGAGCAACCATTATGTAGTAGTGTTTAGGGTTGGGTAGTTTCTTTGCATTTTGAAAACTTGAATCTAGCATGGGTTTCCAAGATTCTTTTCTTGTTTATCCAGCTAATATGTATTTAGATGTTGTATATTCCGAGTTAAATATGCCAAAGGCATTATCATTTCAGGTCAGCAATAGGAGATCTCGCAGATGGTTGAACGATCGTCTTTTAATGGAACTTGTTCCTCGTTTAAATGCAGAAGAAATTAGAGGGTTGTTTGCCCCACCACCTTTTGGTAAGATATTTTTGGGTGTGATATTATCTGTAATTGATCATTTACTGTTCTGAGTGATGTACATTTTACCGTTGTTTCTGTTTGGAAGCAAGCTTTGGAGATAGTTCATCACCTTCCCTAATACTGATGAAACATAAGGTGCCCATGTTACACTGGTAAAACATAATGGACCCTATGCAGCTCGAATTTGGATTAATCGGGCCAATGGGTTCCGGATACCAAATGGTTATACCAGAAAAAAGCATTATTATCTGAACAAAAAAAAACCTAGCATGAGTCAATTTGGATAGAGCTTGTGGTGTCAGAGCTGGATATGCATTTTTAATTATCTTTTGGTACTACAAGCAGTTCTTAATTTTCTAGCTATTATTAATAGAGGTTAAGTTTCTACATTCATTGTCTTCGCTGAATTTGAAACATCTTGAAGCAAAAGAAATATATTTTCTAGCAAAGAAGGATGCATACCTGGCAAAGATTATTTAGCACAATTATTTTTGCACATACACTTCTTTCTTGTTAAAAGAAAAACAATATTAGCATACATACTGCATAGAGAGTTTTTTTGGTCCAGGGAAACAGTTGTATCATCCTTCGTCTTTTGCTCTGAACACGATACAGTCATGCATATATGTCTTCTATGTCACGATTTATTTACTTAAAGAGCACAAAATATGTTAAATATTGAATAGGAAAACAAGAAAAAGGAAGAAATGCCATATCATTGCACCAAAAGTGACGAGGGCTTTGAGTTCAAATATCTTGAAGTAGAAGCAGAAGTGCGTGTGTTTTCAAGCAGGGCCGTGAATGTGATAATGGTCCAGTTATAACTCATGGTTGTGATTTTATATTTTTACATAGCGGTTTCATCTTAGTCATATAGAAGCTCTTCGGCTGTTCATACTCTTTTGTCAAATATATATACTTTTCAATTGAACTTTTTTTATATTTAAGAATGAGTACTTTTCTATCGAACTTATTACACACTAAATTTTATTTCTGATATTAACATATTAATATTTCTTTTTCTGCAGGTGATGATGTGCCACTCTCAGTATTTTGCTTGACGAATGTGGAAGAGTGGGACAAATTCAGGAATATAGACATGGATAAGGAGGTTATTATGCTTTCCTGTCTCTGTAAAGTGTATTTACTTCCTAAAAACCTGGCAACATTTACTTCGAGTAGTGTTTATTGTATAAACGATGACTTCTTTCGACGTTATGTATTTTCATCCCCCTCTTTTTTGATAAGCATGTATTCTTTCCTTTGGTTTTCTTGGGAATGGTTTCCTTAAGACAATTTAGCGATATGAAAGGCCTGCTGTTACGTCATATTTGAATTGAACTACTTATTAAAGCACAGTTCACTGTTGAATAATAATTTACTATGTGAAATTCGTGATTAACTCTTGATGTAGTATGTCTTCACCCCTCTGTTTCAAAAGTTTGCTTAGTGATGCTCTTTCTTGGAATTTGACTTGTGATGTTGCAAAATTGTCTTATGGTCTTCTATATGCTCTTATTTGGTTAGGCTACCATAATGGATGCTCTTGAAGGCAAAACATCGAAGCGGAAAAATTGCGTGGATAATGATAAGGTTGCAGTGTTGACTGCATGGCATAGAGTGGATTGCCGAACAAGAGAGGCACTTCGACGTAACTTTCTCCCTGAATTGGTCAGCAGCTATGAGGTATTATTAGCCCCCTTGTCTTCAATTTTTTCTTCTGTATGTGTTGTTCTTATGCAAATATTATTCAGCTATTGCATCTGTCATTGTTCTGAAGGTGTTGCAACAAACACCGACTTGATATGTAATAAGGTTTTGATAGAAGTTTAAGCTTGTTGGGCCTCCAAGGGAAGTGGCCAGTGAATGCTGAGTTGAAGTGACAACCTTGGGAACCCATATTGGAGTTCCAGTAGAGTCGACAATGAACTCTTCTCATCTATCTAAGTTCATGGGGATAGTTACCTCATACTTGTGCCGGTAGGAGGTAGCAGGTACCCGGTGGATAGTCGAGGGCGCACGCTGGCCCGAACACCGTTGTTATTAAAAAAGAAATTTTAAGCTTGCTCTGTGGGCTAATTGGTTTACGTTGGGATTACTGGAGCTGCAAAATAATCTACACGCTCAACAACTTAGATGTCTACTCCTTCGTAGTTCGTACTCGAGTTGGAGATTAGTGTAATAAGAAGAAATAACAAGGATTTTCTTTTAGGCTTGGCTATAAACTATAGTTTGAGGGTAGTGAATGAGTCCATGCTTGCTGTGGCATTAGGAGTGCGTCAAGCCAAGTTATGTACTTCATTTGTTATGTACAACTGTTTCCCTTTTTATTGAATCATCTAGGTGGCTATCCTTTCATGCCCTGTTTCCTTTTCCCTTTCATGTCTTTTAGTTGGTCTTGATCTTTTTGCTCTTATAACTTGTGGGATTAACTCTTAAATAACCTTACCCTTGGCGGTATTTCTGATAGTCCATAGGATTTGATTTTTACAGTTTCATTATTTTATGCTGCCTCTCCAACCATTCTCTTCCCCTTCTTTTGTTTCTGTTGTTAACAAGAGTTTTGGATATTTTACTGTAGCAATGTGTACGAGCATTTGTGGAAAGTGGTGATGGAGAGGTGCTTGTGCTACGGGTTCAAGACCCCTTCCATCGGTTATTGCTGCACGGTGTTTGTGAGGTATGCTTTGTGGAGCAATAATGTCTAGATTTCATCATTGCAGCACTACATCATATATATGTCATAATAACATTGAACACTGCTTCAACTTCGGGTCTGACATGAGCGTTGAACTTGGGAACTTGGAATGGCTGTAGAACAGTGCCTCTAGATGTTCAAAGTTGTATTGTTAAGTAAGAAGAAAACAATCTGCAGTCTCAGGAAATGTTGCTTTTACCTTAAAAGAGAATGCACATATGATGCTAATCTGATATGTGGACTAATCTTTTATGGTCCATCTTATGACTGCTTACTTGTGTTTTAACAGTTCTACAACCTGGTCTCCGTAACAACCTCGCAAACAGAAGGCAACAAGGCTGTGAAAGTGACTAAGATAAAGAAGAAGAAGGCGGGTTCAGCTGATCTTCCAAACATTACACTCTGCAACTTTCTGAAGATGGCAAAAGAAGGGTTCTGGTGATTCATTTCGCCAGGATCTAGCCCTTGTATCATTACTATGTTGTGCATTATCTTAATTTACTCATTAACATCAAATATGGTTGTTCCCTCGGCAATTCCGACGACTGTACTAATAAATTAATGACTTGAAGTGGGTGCTTCGTGTTTGGAAATGTCTTATTTCTAGGGGCACCTGTTAGGGATGCTTGTAAGGGGAAATCTAAATTGCTTTGTATATATTGCAGAAATAAACATACCTTGTGATTTATTACTGGATTTCTTCCTTTTCTGCTTTGTTCATTTTCTCAGATTTCAAGGGTGCTATATTGTGGAGGAAACAAAAATTTCTGCATGGCGTAGTGGAAACCTATCAGATAGTTTACTGTGGGGAACGACTAATACTAGTGGAACTGAAAAGAAAAGAAAATCACTCGACTACTTATTAACCTTTTACTTCAATTTTCGATCTCTACACCCTTCTATCAAGGGTCATGTTCTCGGCAAGCTGAAGCATTACAATGTCCCGCCTAATCACCTTGCCCAAATACTTTTCAGGCTTGCCTCTACTTCTCCTAAGACTTACTAAGGTCAACATTGCCCAAATACTTTTCGGCAAGCTGAAGCAGTACAAAGTAAGTGATTTTTTGGCCTTTTTCTTGTGGTCTAAAATAAGTGATTTTTTCAGATTTCAAGAATGAATTAATTATTTTTTCCTACATTGTCCTTGGAGTAAATAGTGTTGGAATATGTGTAAGGAGTATTTATGTGAGATAGTAAATGTTAAAATGGTCAATTTTAATGCTAAAAGGTGAATTTGTGTGAAAACATTCAAAATATCACTTATTTTGGACCGGAGGGAGTAGTTGAAAAATATAAGTAGCTATTTGTTTTTTTTAAGCTTACTTTTATTTAGGAACTAGATGGTCTGAGCCCGTGCTTTTGCACAGGCATTTGTGTGTAATTGTTGTGCGCAAGATAGTAGTACCACAAAACTAAATATTGGCATAATGTGTTTAATATTACCATAAAGTACATCTTACATATAGATGTATATGCGGAACAAAGTTGTACAGGTACATTCTTAAGCTTGCTACATGTTCATGTTGGCGAGATTGGATAAAATCTTGAGTTTAAGAGCTGCAACTGGTAACCCATGCTTCATCTTGCTATTCACTGAATGACATGGAAAAGCATGCATTAGAAATTCTTCACCATGGTCATTCTTCCGTGAAAGAACTTGTTTTCCATGCAGACTAACCTGAAGATAACAATATACGTAAGTGGCACATAAGCAAATGGGGAAATGTCATCTGATTCTAAAGTTATATCCAAAATTCAGTACCCAAAAGAAGACCAATATTTTATTGTCTCCATTGCAGAGTTTAAACAAAATATCTGAAAAAGATTATTCAATGAATATGGAAGTAATGCACCATTTCTATATGTAATAAGAAAGCTATCAATTGTAAGGAGAGAACAATTACACATTATATACAACACCAGGAGGAAAATAAGATGTCACCTATGTTTTCTAAGTGAACAAAGATAATTCTCAAGTGTTCTGCATATGCCCGACTTGTTCTTGTCAATCGAGACCTTTTGTGAGGTTCTTAAACATAATATATGAGACGACAAAGATTGTAGGATTCTTAAGAGATATAGGTCTCAAGCTCTTTCTTGAACACCCAAGCTATGGGGAAAATGAACTAATCTCAAATGACATGCCAAAGCAATCAGTTTCATATTTATTTTTTCCACCAAAACTCATTTGTGCTTTACCTGAATCCATACAAACTCCAACTACCAACATGAAAATTAAAATTTTATGTAGTGCCTCCTTCTTGAGAAACACTTTCATGGCACCCACTTCTACAACATTTGTAAAGCAGACAATTTCACCTCACTGACTCATTGGTGACCTTCATTTACTTTGTATAAACCAGGTTACTCCTAAGAAGAGTCTCTTGAGTCAACCACTTCCCAACAAGCATTAAAAAATTAAAGATATTTAGGAGACTTGGAAGGAAGAGCTAATTCCCTGAATAACTATAGATTACTCGTCACTGCTCACCTACCATCATGCGGACCAATTGTCTTTTGCTTTGGCAATCTTCTTTATTCTGTTTTTAATTATCACAATTTAGAGTAGGAAATTCCTTCGCAAAAAATGAGAAACTTTGAGAATGTACTATTTTACTTTATAAACAAAAATAATACTCAGAAAGAGGCAAGAAAGATGAAATGAAAATCTACCAACAGATAAACTTAGAAACAAAAAGATAAAACTAAGCCAGTAACAAACATATGAGGAGGAAAACACTGGATTTATGAGTTACTTCTTCCTTCATCTACCATTCTTCCAACTTGTAAAAAACAGAAATGCCTATTACAAATAAGAACGGTAAATCACCTTACCTTTACCTATTAATTTGTCTAGTTTCATTCTTTATGTGTATTCGTTGAATCAAAGAATTTATTTTCGTGCATGTAGATAACGGCAACAAATAGACAATGAAGGACCAACACCTAAGACGATAAAGAATGAATCTTATCTATCTTATTCTCTATCATAAAAGTATTGTTCTCATGTTAATGCAGATTTATGCCATGTATGAGCCAAACAATAGTCAACAATATTTTCTCATCTACTACTTCAACTCATATCTCCTAATGCAAAAGAATGTTGTCAAGTAAATCATATACGATTTATCACTCCATACAGCCTAGAAGAGTAATCAATGATTACATTTAGATAAACTCGCAATCAGTTCAAAATCGACATACCAACAATTTTTGAAGTCCGCATTACCACCAAAATGTGAAACAATCAAAAAAAGTATTATTCCTTCCTTTCACTTCTTACAATTTATCTTTTTCTCGGAGAGCACCAGCAAGGTTAAATCACAAGCAAGCGATTAAATTACCTTATCAGCTTTTCTATCCGGTTTCCCAACGTTTCCACTGTAAGTGCTTCCAACTTTCTGCGTTCCGTCACAACTTTCATATCTTCAAGGCAAGAGAGCAAATAGGACACAGACTGATCATCATCTAAAGGTGTATTTTCCACACATCGAGCAATATCTACCAGATCATTTATCTGTGACATAAAAAATTATAACATCAAAATGTCAAAATTCAGAACTCCTGAAAATATGGAAGCAGGTTATTTAAAGTAGTCGATACCAAATATACTACACTAACACGAGCAACTGTAGGATATAAGATATATATTACTGAAGCTTTACAGTGAGACAGGAAAATATCATTATAAAATCTTTTTCAATCAATATGTTGCAAGAAACACAAGGTTCTCAATCTTCAAATGGAGCAACTCCAAAGGATAAGACAGAAGATACGGTTCAAAGCAGAACTGAAAATGCTAATCATATTTCCACTTTAATAACAATTAAGCAATTACATATAATAAATCAATTCTTATCCTTTACAAATTCTGCAGTTTTAGGATCCCTATCTGCTGCTGTAGAATGATCCATTTCAAGAACAGAAATTGGATAACATTATCCTCTCAAAAAGTATTGCTCAAACTTGCAGCACAATAGTTACTATTAAAGAGATGCAAGTGAAGCATAAGGTCAAGAGGTAGTTTTGATTACCTTTGTTTCATGCCTATGGTTAGTGGAACAAAGTGGTTACTGGAATATTTGTGCACAGGAGAAAAAGTGAAAAGCAAGCTGCACTGCAAAATTTATTTTCCTGCAAAACAACTGTTGATGAATAGGAATTTTTTAAATAAATTTACATGTAATGGAGCCAATTAGAATTTTTACAGAACTACCACATGTACATATGTTGCTAACTTTCTAAGTTTTAGTAGGTAGGTCAGTGTTGTGAAGAGCGTCAAGCGAGGAAAAGCGAGAAGTTCCTTTTTGCTAAAGCGAGAAAAAAATGACAGTTAGTAAGAAAATGGCAGTAAGAACTAAGAAGAACTGGAGGGCTAAAACGGAAAAATTGGTAGTAAGTAAGAAAAAAATTGGGCAGCATTTCGCTGCGATTTTAAGGACCGAAACAAAAATAAAAAGAAGACGAAGAAGAAGAACTGAAGGAAAAAAAAATTGGCAGCATTTCGTCACTATTTTAGGAGCGAAGAAGAAGAAGAAGAAGAAATCACATACCTGACCTTGAACTCGGTGAGCTTGAATTTTGCTCTGCTCCTCAATGATGTTTGAAAAAAGACACATTTTTTTAATGTTGGCAGTCACTTAAATACTGAAACACTCGCTGCTGTCGCTTCTCGCTACAATCGTACTTCTCGCTTTTTGGCAGAAGCGCACGCTTCAACTAACGTGCTTCGCTTCGCGCTTTAAGCGCTGAAGTGAGCGCTTTTCACAACACTGGTAGGTCATTTCTATTTTGTGGATAAACGCATAGGAGTTGACATGACATCAGAATATACAAACTCTCTCTGAGGTGGTTTACTATTTAGTTACCTTTGTTCCATGAAAGCCAAAACTGATCGCAAAAAGGAGCTGATTAACCTGCAAATATTTTCGGGGAAAAAAGAAGAAGATGAAAATGAAAATGCTTGTTGTTAAAGGATATGTGTAGTATATAATTCAAACAATGAATGAGGAAGAGAAATTTTTGAGTGACTTCATTTCATTTTCACTGGAGTCGTTGGCTCCAGTTTTTGTTTTAGCTTGAACAATTCACCTCGTTCAGTTGCTACCTCTATTTCTCCATCAGAGGAAGACAAATCTTCTTTCTTTCTCTTGCTGCCTTCACCTATATCCGTTGTGGTTGGTGCAGGGAGAGAATGAATGATATTTTCTTTTTCAACGCATGATACAATATACAATTTTTCAGATGTTGCTCCTGAATTGCGTGCGGATGCTTTTTTCACTTGAAATTTGAATAGTTTTTGACTAACCCTGCTTTGTACATCTTGCATTTGCAAGGACTCATTCTGGAAAAAGAAAATATATTAAGTTATTTTGCAAGTTCAATAGTGAAGTGATCATGTGTGAATTATTTACTTAGAATACGTACATTAATTGAAGCTCGCTCGTAAACTTCTTCTGTAGTAAGAGATAATATTTTCTCTCCTTCTTTACCCATAACCATTCCAAATATTGAGCCAGAGGTATCTTGAAGATTCACATCAAATCGACACTTGTAGTATATGTGTGAAAGTCAATAAGAGTTTAGGGCAGAGTCTGATTATGCTTTGGATGTATCTATAAAATTAGATAAGAGAGTACCTGGGAGTCAACATATTCTGTTGATTGCAGTTCATACAATGAATTTCTCTTCTGACTAGACTCCTCACTTCTTGTCCACAGTTTGGACATATTAAAACATAAAAACTCTTGAGGTCACTTGGAAGTGATATTTTTGCCTCAATGAAAAAGGTGTGTCCCTATGTTACCAAAGTGAGAGTAATTTTTTTAAGGACAAATACTTATATCATTGTATAAAATATGTGAATAGAAATTATACTAACGTCGTGCTGTGATTGAACATTTGCAATTGGCACTATTTCTTCATCCACTGGAACAGAAATAAGAGATCCGGATGTGGATGTGCTCCTCACAATGAAAGAAGCAAGCATTTCTTTGTTTTCTACGATCCTGTCCCAAAAGTAAAAATGACAACACCTTAGAATGTTAATAATAAGAAAGAAACATGAACAATATACAGAGGATTAATGTGATACCATTTTCGTAGTTGCAGACATTGTTGATAAGGTAGATTAATCTGTATGGTTGTGTTAAACCTTGTTGTCAATGATGTGCTTGCATAAATTACATTAAGAAATTACAAAATCACATTGGTTCTTTGTATAAGATGAAATATTGTTGATTTTAGTTTACCATTGTATTTCGACACCCCAATACGTCTTGCAATAATACCTTCTTCCCATATTGTGAATGTGAAAGTTTGCTTCCTGTGTAAATGGAAGGGACAAATATTTATAGTACTTTTTTATATAATTAAATAATAAGTATAAAGAAGTGTCTGAAAAGCTTATGACTTGGCTAATAGATCTACCGTGTATCAATAATGATGAGTTCCTGCAATCTTTTCTGCAGACTTGCAACATATCTTGGCAGAAAGCACTTGACAACAATTGCAAGCACATCTATTGACAGAAGGATTTAAAGTTAATAAGTAAATTTATAAAATAGTAAATTCACAAGTTCTATTAAACTACTTGTTCGTTGATTAAAGAATAAAATTTTCATACTGTGTTCTATGTTCTTAGTTGGATTCTTGATAGATCGAGAGGCTTGATCCTTAATGTCTCTAAAGGACGTCACAGTAAGTCTAGTGGGTGGCGGCAACTCTTCTTCATCTGGGTTGTCTTTGTTAATTGGATCAATTATGGTTTTTTTGTCGATAACCCACTCAAACGTATGCAACGGTTTTTCGTATCTCAAATTTGATAGTTGTATGCGTGCACCCGTTATCAAGTAGGTATGAAATAGTCTGAATATCTTTTCATAATTGGGGATGTCATCACATAAATGATTGCTTTGATTTGGTCTTCCTGTAAGCAACCAACAAAGAAATTGTGGAAGACTCATATGTGGAGAATGTAAGCAATTAGTTTAAAGATATTTAACAAATAAAGTAAGGCTAAGTGTATGCTTCCCCTTATCTTGTTTCCTTTTGGATAAGGAAAATCTAAGCTGAAAATTATCTAAGACAGAATATATCTTAAAATGGGGACTTTTAGAATCTCTTTATTCTCAACAAAATATTACATATTCATGGGTAGGTAAAAATTCTTTTTTGGTTCAGGCATATCAGGAAATATTTTGTCAAAGAATCATCTAATTATTGAAGATGGCAAAAAGAATTAAGTTTCATTATGAAAAAAAAGGAGAAGATAGGCAGATTTGTAGCTAACATTGAAAAGTCATCCATGTACACGTCTATGTATAAGTAAACAAGAATCTGCGCAAAAGAAAAAAAAACTAATGATACCCAAAAAAAGAGTATAAACTACACATACCCAGATAACAATAGCCAACAAAGAAAGTGCAACAAATGAATAAGATATGCAGAAATAACTCACACACCAGAGAGAGAAGAAAAATAAATTTGGAAAACTTGCATACCTGTTCATCTTGGAAGATCATGTTCAAATACTTTATCTTTCTGTCTGAACTCTCTCTTGGTCGACATATATCTACAACTTGCACCTTGCACGTCCAACTTGGTGTATCGGGAGTGATTGCACATATACCAAGTCTCTCTGCCATTGTTGCCTGCAATCTGAAAAATGATTAATAATAAGTATACGATAAAATAACTAAAACAAAATACAAGTAATAACTTACGTAATAATATCTTTTTTCGAGCCAATCAAAAGACTTAGCAGAATGCCTTTTTGATAATTTCACTATATACTACATTGTAAGTAGATGGTCATCATGATTATCTACTGTTGCTGGTCGGATTAACATCTTTACACTGTTTGAGTTTGTTGCTCTTGATAAAGCAACGTAAAGTTGGCCGTATGAAAAGACAGGTTCACGTAAATAAATTCCTACAAAATCTAGTGTTTGATCCTGAGCTTTGTTTATAGTCATTGCAAAACATAATCGAATTGGGAATTGTGTTCTCTTAAATGCAATAGGTAATTTTTCATCTTGTGAAGATAATAATGGTATTCGAGGAATGAAAACATGTTTGCCTTTAAAGTCACCACTTGCAATTTTAGCACTAATAACATGAGTTTTGAAATCAGTACAAATTAAGCGGGTACCGTTACATAAACCCTCGGAAGGATTTAAATTGCGCAGTAGCATAATTAGATAATTTTGCTTTAGAACTAACTTGTATGGAGGTAGACCAGCAGGATTCAAAGTATGTAGAAAATCTTCAAATTGGCTTTGATCCTTTGGCTCAACAGTTTCGTCAATTTCTATGAATGTCATAGCAGTTTTAGGAAACTAATCTATGAACATCTGATTAATTTCATTCACAAAATCATTTTTGGTTGTTAAGATAGCGCGAAATGTAACTGAGGAGGTATCATAAATGAGTGCATCTAAATTGAGATAAATAGTTTTGAACAGAACATGTAATGATTCTTTCTCATTAGTAAATGGAATGAGGAAAGATTTTGGAACTTCAATTTTCCATGTTCATTAACCTTTTCTATTCCATCTCCAATCCTTAGTAAGTACTCACAAAAGGCAGGATCTTTTCTTACACGCATATTTTTTGATAATCGAAATTTTTTAAGATGATTCCAAATGTCTGAATATAATAAGCTTTCACAAATGAAATCTTCTTTCGTCCCGCTTTGTACAACTGGCAAAGTCTGTCTGAAATCACCTCCGAAATGACGACTTTACCACCAAAGAGTGTATCTTTGTCCATAATATCTCTCAAGAGTAAATCAAAAGTCTCGACAAGTTTTTTCTTTGCCATTGACACCTCATCCCATACTATTAGTTTTGCATCTCGGATTAAAGATGCAAGTGAACTTTGTTTACTTATATTGCAATTATAATTTTCAGTGGTATCAATAGGAAGTTTAAAACGGGAGTGAGCAGTCCGGCCACCAGGAAGTACAGAAGCCGCAACACTAGAAGTTGCTGTAGCTAAAGCTATAAATCCCTTGGGTAGTACAGTAGCTAGTAGAGCACGATATAAGAAGCTTTTTCCTGTTCCTCCAGGACCATCAATAAAAAAAGCTCCTGATCCATTTAAAAATATT